GTAAAAGTAAGTTATTAAGTTTAAAAAATTCATAATATATATATTGTATTCTGATTGGTTAATTATCTCGTGGCCACGACTTAGCTATCTCGTTCCCACGACTTAATAACTCGTGGCCACGACATAGTATCTCGTGGCCACGACTTAGTAACTCGTGGCCACGACATAGTAACTCGTGGCCACGACATAGTATCTCGTGGTCACGACTTAGCTATCTCGTGGTCACGACTTGGCTATCTCGTGGCCACGACTTAGTAACTCGAGGCAACGACATAGTATCTCGTGGCAACAAGATAAATAAAAACACACACACATGTCACCTTTGTGCCACCGTAATTGTACGTACTTGAATGGTTTTTGAAAACCCATACATTTCCATTGTATTTCATGTATTGTTTGCTATAAATATGTTACATGTTTTATGCAATAAATATATTGAATTGAATTGAATTTACAACATAAAACACAGTTTTTGATGCATTATGGCTTCGATTATGAAAAATAATTGTATCTGACTGAAGTGCCTGACAAACTCTGGTGACATTGAGGATTGCAAGCTCTGCTTAAGTAGTTTCAATAAATTTTTATTTTTATTGTAACCTTTATAGGAGCTTCGATATTCAAGAAATTGGTTATTTTGTAAAATGCATTATTTATGAAAATTGCATTTATGAGAAATGGTAAATAGGTATATGATTAGAAAACTGGTAAATGAAATATATTATGATATATGCAGGAATGGCAATTGTAGTGGGCCAATAACTGACAATAAGATGCCTATATCATTGTTGGTTATACTACTTTACTGACACAGCCTTAAAGTGAAATGGGCTACATTTGAGGTCTGTTAAAATTGAAAGTAGTATCATCATGTAAAGTGCCCTTTATAATACTGCACGTTAATTCGTAACGTCGCTTTTAATTGGATAATCGTGACGTTTATATCATAAGTATTTTACACCGAGTGCCGGTACAGACCGGACTATCTAGCTCTAGGGTAACTGTTTTAGGCGGTCCGAGTTTCTGCTAAACAGTTACCCAAGCTAGATATTCGTGTCTGTATCGGCAGGCGGTGTTTGATTCTTTTTCTTGCAAATTACATATTCATGATAAGAAAAAAAAAAAACTAATATTTCAATTTAGCAGTTGTCTTACATGGGTGGTGTAAGACACGTTTTTCTAGCACCGGTGTAAACAGTAGATAATCCTGTCTGATATGCCAGAGTTTTATATACACGGCTGCTGTCAATTTGTAAAGAAATCTACATTTCTCCCAAAAATGATGCGTGCTGTTTTATAAGTTCGTGATAAATATTCCTGACAGGTTATATGGAGGTATATAAACGGTTGTTTGCAATAAAACCTTAGCTTGCGGCTCGGCTCGGGTTATATTTCCAAGCAACCGTTTATGTAGGGCCATATAACCTGTCAAAAAAATTTATAACTAATAATATAACTATAAACAGTACCATAATAAAAGTAAGAAAACATCGAGAGCGATCATACTATTCAAACATTTCAGGTTTTGCTTACATGTTGTATATAACGAATTGTAATTAACGTTTTATCGCGAGTTAACAAATTATCGCAAACGTTTATTATTATTGTAACATATTAGATCGCGATTTCTGAAGCACACAGGCGTTTAACAATACTACTTCTTCAGGAATTATTTTAAAAGAATATCATATCTAAATGATAGTATTGGTTTTATTTGAAAGTTTAGGTATGTAAGAAAAATTGTGTTCATTGTAGCTCACTCCTCTTTAATGTGCAAATACCATATAATATACAGTTGTCATTTCGGCGGGGAATATAGGTTTTCCTATAATTTGCCTGTTATATCTAGGGATATGTTTTATTATAGTTTCATAGATAGATATTATTAACCATGCGTATTGATAATTTTATAAGTCAATTTTTTGCGACATGCACTGTTTTTGTTCTACGATTTGACTCTTTGTATAAAAAGTATGAAGGGAGGAATTATGGTATCGAAAATTCATTTATAATTTGCAACATATGTACTGAGGTTTACATACTATTACATTTACATCAAATTGCATAATATTATCTATTTTTGCAACGTTTTTGTATCCAGTAAATCAATATGGCGGCGTTATTCAATGCTTATACTTTTAAGTACGTTTGTTTCAGAGCGAGCTATCATTGGCGGTTACTATGTGGAACAACCATTCAATTCGGCGCTGTAGAGACTCCAACGTTCCATGTGGACAACCAAATGGAATGTTTAACTTCCCCGAACTATGGAATACAAGAGACTACATGTTTTTTGCATCCAGGGAGGAAGTTGATGCTTGTCGTGGTCAAGTCGAGTTCCGGTCAGTAGTGTGCTGCGACCAAGTTGTTTACGACATGTGTACAGACATTATGGCAGCAGACAACTTTCTCCCCCCAAACACTTTTGACGAGGCAGAACTTCTGTATAAGCATTTGAGAAGCAAACTTGTTGTTGCTGATGCATGAGCAAATCTTACCTAAGCATCTTGGTCTGGGAGCCATGGAACTATACAGTAGTTATTGTTAGGTGGTACTGTACAAACATAGCTAAAATCGCTCCGGTCCGTTAAATAAGTTTGTCGCGAAAACTTAAAAAATAGAAACTAACCAGGAATGATCCTTGTATGTTACATTACACAAGAAAATTAAAATGAAGATCATCTCCATTTGATAGTACGGCTTATTGGTCATAATATATGGTCCTATTTACCTATACATCATGAGTTCTAATTGCTTATTATTCCATCAGTTTCTGTTAAGAATATTTAAATGAAGCTGCAACCTTTAATAATCCCCTTCCGCAGAGCGGGAAGGGTATTACAGGAATGGCCTCCGTCTGTCAGTCTGTCGTCTATCCCCGTAACACTATGGTGTTACACTTTCATGTCCGCTCCATAACTTTCAAACCACTGCTTTTTTTAAAATAACTTGGCACAAGTGATCACCATTATGAGATGATGTGCAGAGCACAATAAATGGGTTGCTACCCCCAAGGTCAAGGTCACACTTAAAGGTCAAGTGTTAAAAAGTCTACATTTCGTGTCCACTCCATTACTTTTAAACTGATGGAAAAAAAATTGAAATAACTTAGCACAGGTTATCATCATTATAGGACGATGTGCAGAGCGCAATAGTTTGGTTGCTACCCCAAAGGTCAAGGTCACACTTTAAGGTGAAGTGGTAAAAAGTCAAAATTGCGTGTCCGCTTCATAACTTTTAGACAGCTGAAATCTTTTTTTAAAAAAACTTGGCACTATTGATCCCCATCATGAGATGAGATAATGTGCAGAGCGCAATAATTGGGTTGTAACCCCCAAAGTCAAGGTCAAGTGTTAAAAAGTCTAAATTTGAGTCAGTTTCATAACGGCTGATTTTTTTAATAACTTGGCAGAAATGATCACCATTATGACAAGATGTGCAGAACCCAACATTCTGGTTGCTACCCCAAGGACAAAGTTAAATGTTTTTTGGTCACTTTTTGACTGTATGGAAGATTTTAAATAAATTGGCACAAATAATTACTATCATGAGACTATGTGCTTATAATATACATGGCACAACATGAAGGTCATGGTCTGTTGAAGGTCAAGAGGTACACATTTCATGTCCGCTGAGAAAAGGGATTTAGCTGTCTCTTAGATTGCTTGTAAATGTACCACATGTAGGTTAAAGTTATAATGAATTATATGAAATACTAAGAACTTAGAAAAATACTTCCTACTTAATATATTTTCGAACAGCGTATGAGATTCGCAAATTTTCCTTTTCAATTAACTTTGGGCCTGACAGGAAAACATACAAAAATATCATTGTATACGAATAGAGCGGTTGAATATGTTTGTATTTCCGAACATAATTTTCATGTACTAATTATCTATAAAAGAAGTGCATAGTGCACTGCGACATCAAATTCTGAGGTCATTTCCTTTTCCGAATCAACCTTTATGGTGTTGATCAGGCTCCAGCTATACAATCGCAATTTACCGAGAAATTAGTGTTCTTTGAGTGTTCGGAATTACAAACGGTAATAGATACAAGTGCATGTATTAAGCTACCGACTATAGTATTTTTAATTCGACGTCTTCCTCTTCCGTCGTTCAGAATTTTTTAGTCACAAAAGTCAGTAACTCGATTTAATATACACTATGTGCTGATGATACTATTCTTTTTTTAGGGGAACCACGTAATCAACTATCACCCTTTCTATATGCTATCAGGCGAGAACCCATTCACAGGAATTTGAAATTTTATCAACAAATCACAAAAACATTATTATTTATATAATATATATATCATTTGTTCTTTGAATATAATGGCTAAGGTAAAATTAGAAATGAGCTTTAAACGACATCTCCTCTTTATTGGCTTGATGGATTTTCATTAAACTCAACAGGAATGATCCTTGTAAGGTTCTGTATTTTAAACAGTCAAATCGTTCAGGTCCGCTAAACAAGATGGCCGCCGATGCTTAAATAATTTATCTGCTTAAATGACATAGGTTTCCTCCTTAACCACTGGATCTATTTTGTTGAAACTGGGTCACTCTGCTCAGGTGAGCGATATTGGGCCATATTCGCCCTCTTGTTTAAAGTATGTCCTTTCCATTTCCATTCAACATTCCTACTCTGAGAATGGAAGCAAGAATCAAGTACCGCTTTTGGAGTGCAACATATAACAGGCAACAAGTGCATCACATACCAATTACTTTATTATTATATATGTGTGTATTTATGTGTATACGAGTAATTGATAAATGTCGGTTTAGCGATAAACAACTCTATGTGTCGCAAAGATGTATTGTGACAAATAACAACTAACTCAAACATTTTGTTAAAAAAACTATAACTAGAAATAAAGGTGATGAATACACATATATACTTCTTTGTCAAAAGAATGATGCATTTTAGAATAAAATGCCTTCTTGTTGGAAATAGTTCCTAAGTGCTGAAGCACTCGACATAACAAACTTCTACGAAACTACATAACAAACGTTAAAATTAAATTTGGTAAACAATAAAAATCATGAAGCAACTTCCTGCTGCATTGGCATAAAATGCTAGTTATATTATTGAAATGGTGTAAGATTGAACATGTTAAACACAGTAAAGAATGAAAATGGTAATAATAACATTTTTCTCAACTAAAAACGTATGATTATGCACATTTAAAAATGAAAACTTCCAAACATTCACCAATTGCATAGTTAAGCAGATAAAAGCAAACTTTTAGTGTTCAAGGTCTGCCAAAAATGTTCACATTATAGATTTAGGAAGTTATGTGAATTTACGTTATTACGTTTGCAACTGTTGCCATAGCAACAAATTTTCTGAAACAAACCGATAATTTTTAACACTCGACATATTTTCAATATGCTCTATTGTAGGAAAACAGTGTATTAAATTTGATTTACAGTATGCTTGAATATGAAGAAAACTTGAAAACAAACACGGATACAGACTATGAGTTACATGCAACTTCAGATTAGCCTACCATGTTAACGAAAAAAATAATATCAACAAAGTAACAATCCGAGGCCGTCTTTTGACTTCCATAGACGTCGACTACCAGTGACATACATGTGTCGCTTTGGCCATTACCTGGTAGATATAAGCGATAGGAAGATGAAATTTGCATTCTGTTATTAATACAAAGTGAAAGTTACTACTGTCATAGCAGATCTGAATCTCTGGACATATATATCGTACGAGTCCAGAATAGGAAGCCGTAGTTCTAAACTACATGTGTTTATGAGCGGGAACTCCCGCGTGGAGTCGTTCGGCGAGAGATCCGCCGAATGCCGGAATGAGATCGATCCTTCATATTCGAAGCCCAGCGGCGGTATTTCGTCCAGTCCTGTCAGGAATGATAGAAGCGCTGGTAGAGTTCCCTCATCTGGAAAAATGGAAAGAAAAAATTACGAGCATTACATTGTACTGTTTAAGCTTGAAGTAAATCTTTTAATGACGACAAACGTAAAATGTGAACCCCATATCTAAATGACCCTTAGCAACGCCAAACAAAACCACAAGCATTGAAATAAACGTTTTCAGTCCTCTGAAGCCTTGACATTGAAGTGGTCCACACCGGATTGATACCGGTTATAACAGCTCGCCAAATTAATCAACCCTGTTGGCTATCCGTAAACACAAACCAACTGATGAAAGCCGATGTTACAATATTCATTTTTTAGAACAAGTTACCAAGTTAACTACGCAAATGTATAAATCAAGTGACTGACCTTCCATGTCTAGCACCATGTCTCTCCACCAGGAAACAGTCTCATCCTCTTTCTTTTTCCTGTTGCTGCCGTCTTCACTTGATAAGGTCCGCCGGTAGAGTGAGAAAATATCCTCAGCGGTGAGGGTCTTATCCTGGTGAATAAAGAATGGCTCCAGGGTAAGGCTATCTTTCTTAAGGGCTGACAAAAGACCCAATGTTCCGAGGCCTTCCGAAAATCTAAAAAAAGGTCAGTGAGAATACTTGGTAATTTTATAACTAAAGAGAAAACTAGTGACCACTAGAAAAATGAAGCCATATGAAAATTATATCATTAATCTGTGTAAACACTTTGAATGCGACCATACCAAACTGACATGATTATTTGAAACTTTCTTCGTCTTACTGATACAGCATGAGGCAGCGTTTCCCTCATTTTAGATTTTTAGGCGGGCCGTGCCCGCGTCTTATAGAATGCATTATTGAAGATGTACATGAGCCTCATTTGAGACATGTTTGGGATCAGCAATTACATTTGTACGCACATTACATGACAGAAACCGTTTCATTGGCATTGCTTATTCATTTATTTTTTATTTCTGCACATGTTCATTGATTTGTATTCCGTTTATATATATATATATATATATATATCTTTTATTAAGTAGTAAGCCATTTATGGCCCATGTACATGCAGCAATATAACATTCAATGTTGAAAACAATATGTAATTATATAGGTGTTAACAATATTGTACTGGATATACATGTAGGTAATCATATATCAATGGCAGACTTATTTCTACATATTATAATAATTAAAAAATGGCTAAACGAACTTTAAAAACTTGGCAAATATTAGCTATTCCTCTTCACACGATTGTTTGGAAACCCTACAATTATCTTGTTATTAGGGAAAATATATTAAGTTCCGTGGTCAGTTCTTACAGCTTGTAATAAAAAAACAGCTAGAAAAGTGTCTGTATGACACGGATGGCCCCACATCCATCTTTGTCACAAAATTTTGACAAGATCAGGGGCCATAACTCTATCACTACTGTGTCATTCTGTGAACAGAACCCAATATTCACAGCAATTTATTCCGACCAATGTAACTAAGTTTAACGAGAAACTTGTGTTTGAAGCTAAAATTGCCAGACGGCAGACATCAAGCGGTCACCTGCGTGCTGATGTGAGCTAAAATGGCCCTCGCAGGTCAGTTCTGAAAAGATACTTACTGATCATATGCAGGTTTAAGATTTTCAATAACTAGGAATCTGCAAAGTGCCCATAGGAGCTGATCTTTCCTGTCGTGTCTCCCTGCCAGAGATCCATTTCCAGAAACGCGTATTATGTTCTCTAGAGGTTCGACTGCCTCGAAAAACTCGGTTGCAGTCGTAGATGCATCAATCTATAATAACATATTAGAAAGTATTATAGATCCATCAAACAACATGCTTATCATATGTACGTATAGGTGTGTCAAAGTGTAAGAAAATACATGAAACAACCCGCTTGCTAAAATAATTGATCCATGGAATACAATCGGTACGACTGATGAAGAGGGAATTTTAAATAATACAATGATAACACAAGTTTATTATTCCACCATGAATAAATAATACCATTGAAGGGGGTCGAACGAATAGCGATGCGATACTTCTTTAAGCTATGCAAACTCGATACGGAATAATGGCCTAACAAAGTGAAAGTTAAATGGTTATGAGCATGTTTTTTTTCCTTCAAATATTTGTTGTATATTGTAATTTCTTGAAGAATAGCACTGTGTCTGCTGATCAGAACTTTTGATTGTGCATGATCGTCAAAATAAAATACTAAATTGTAAAGTATTATGTAAGTTATTGAGGTATTCGTAGCTGCAAATTCAACCGTCAACCTGAAATGCACATGCAAACGAATACAGTATCAGTACTTTTAAAACAAGATATTCGATTATTTTTAGTCCCAACATGTTTATTTTTGATAACAAAGCGATACACAAGAGTAATTTTCTACATCTATTCGAAAATATATACAATATTTCCAATTTTCTAACTGTACGCCTAATAATTGGTCCGATAAACTAATTGTACGCACAAATGTTGGTGTGTTTTTTCTTTAGCAACGGAGACTTCCTCATTAAAATACATTCTAAATCAAAATTGATGAAATATCAAGTTTATTCTTGTATGTTAATCATATGTAAACCTAAATGTAAATAAAAACAACAGTGTCAATCAATGTATGATACCAGAGATGTAGATAACTATGTCTCTGATGATACTACGATAAAGTTAATTTAAATATTATTTTCTCACAGAGGTAAAATATTAAAATTAGATGAGTTATTGCACAGGAACTTGAAATTCTATCAAATAACCAATAGTAACGATAATATTCGTTTTGTTTATTCCATTGATTCAGTAAAGGTTTTATCATTTAATAATATGTTTTTCTATTATTTATCCCAGAAAAAACCCAATAAATGTAATTAAAACAGCAACAAACGAAAAGAAGATCTACTTTTTGTATTACATGCACTGGTCGGAAAAAACACATCCCATCCGTTTTACGTTCATTCAATACCTTGAGTAGTACATGTAATAAATAGAGGATATTGAATGAGTGTATTTATTGAACGAGTTGAATAAAATAATATTATGCGAGCCTTATATATCACAAACAAGATACTGTAAAAAAAAAACAAGACTCTTGTTGTTGAAAAGGGCGACAACTTTTTGGAATGAAGATACAGTAGCTATGAATGTTGTTTAAAATTAAGTGTTGACAAGAAGTACTGTTATCTAAGATCTTATAGAGTAAAGGTTACCTTTTCCAACTCCTAATTATCACAGGTAGGTATCTAATTATTAAAATTTAGTTTAAATTGTAACATTTATATAGATGGTGATACAAAACTTTAATTTGAAGTAAATTCTTAAGGAAAGAAGGTGTAAAAAATCATTTTTAGAAATCCGGAAACGGACACATTTATGGTAGCTCTCTTAGTATTATTATAGGAAAACATGTACAACAGGTGTAATAATGAAAAAATATCGAATCTGTCACAGCGTACAGTTATTATATTGCACCAAAGCCGAGCGTACACTTAAATATTTTAACCTGTAAGCGTCTATTTTTATAGGAGCACAAAGGTACTTGCTATAAAACTCAATTATGATTACCCTTATAGAATAAAGAAAAAAAAGAAATTATCTATAATAAGCAATTTATGAAACAATTGATAAAATACACTCACTGACCTGAATTTACACTAATTAATCCGCCATCATTTCGTATCGCTTAAAGAAGTATCTATAAGTTTCTTTAAGTATCGCAACCGCTAAATGTTCGACCCCCAGCATTGGTCATGAAAGAATTTTCATGAAATGTGTCATAAAAATTGCATTGATTTTATGTAACAAAGGCATGTAATGTTTTGGAATTCTAAGTCTGTACAATTTCTTTATATTCAACAGTCATATACCTTTTGTAGTTGCTCTCTTATTTCCTCATCTTGAACATTTTCAACGTTTGGGATGACACAATTTAGTCCCTTACTTAGAGCTTCATAGGTGAACGGGTGGAAGAAATCTGGTGTCGGCCCTTTATGAACCATCATATACGCCAACATTTCTCCAGCGACTTTATACAAGCCCTTGTCCAAAGCTAAATGTACAAGATTAATAAGTGTCTAGACTGTCATTATCACTATAGCAATCTTGAAATGGTAGCAAACAAGATTTTTGGGCAAAAAATGTACAAGTCCGTGAAGTCAAACAACACAATATAATATCAACGCCTAGTTCATCTGAGAAAAAAAGTTATGTACATAAAATCATAAATTATGCCTTCGTGTTAACGTTTGATAGTTTTCATTGAAGTATCTGGTCTCGGTAAGAATACACGGGAACTTAAATGCATGCGTCAGAACGTTGAAGAGGGATTAAAATAACGACCTTTTAATTTTTAGTTTGACGCTCTTCGAATTCAG